GTTTACCACCTCCGCGCAGCGACTTTGAAATAAGTTCGCCGGGAATGTCTTTGTTAACGCGGAAAGTTGACCGCATTGACACCGTGCTCCCGCACTCGATTCCGCGGAACTTCCGAAGTTTCCCCGGCGACTATTCGAGCCGGATTCGTCGAAATGTTCTTAATAATGCGAAAATGGCTTGCCGTTGAGTTTCCAGTCCACCAACGGCCCCCGCCTGTGAACTTTAAATCTTCTTTTTACGTACGGCTTTCTTTTATGTGTCAATATTTCGACCGCCGCGATTTCCGCGCCGGCGAAATCGCGTCGTTCCTCGCGCGGACGAAATTCAGCAGAAAAGACGGAATTTAAAAAGTTCTTCGATCCGTCGTAAAATTTCTTAATTTCCCGTCGTTTCGCTTCTTGGATCCGTTTCGATCTGATTTTATTTTAGGACAAGTAACAAATGAAGCTAGCCCGCGATTTCGAAACAGAGAAATCGAGAACTCGCCACGCGAATCATCGTTGAAGAGCGAAATTCGACATTTTTTTTTTGAAATCGGTGAGAAATATTAACTTCGCTGGAGTTCAATTTTTAGACTGCTATCTGAAAATTAACGGATAACGCTGATCGACATTTTATGTTAACAGACTGGCATTTGATACATTTAATTAATTATTGGAGATAAACATTGAATTAAGGCAACGTTGAATAAAAATTGAATTCAAGCTACATTTCTATTTCAACTAATATTTTATAGCAGCGTGAATGAAATTAATCTATGCCATAATTCTTAGGTATATATTAACAATGAACTGGAAAGAATGAACTGAAAATACGAAACGAAGTCCATTCAACGCATTAACACGTTCCGTGCCGAGCTTTTTTTACTCGAATCTTCACACTTTGATATTTTACTAAAACTTGATGTATTACGTGCAATTATTAATTCTCGTACACATAACAACGTAACAAAAACTTATCAACGCCCATTCTTGCGGTGGAAATTGATTCTTCGGTTCTAAATTTCTTGTAAACAATTTGTTCAGTTCACTAAGTAAACATGCAAGCGTGTACCATGGATGGTAACGTGGCACGGAACGTGTTAAAATTGCCATTAGCCTCGAACGATCGAATCCGAGTTAAAAATGTCGGACGAGTTTATCGTTTAGATATTGTCTCCCATAATAACGACGATAAATGTTGCCAATTAATATTCGCGCTAAATGCTCGAACGATCAGTTGAAACGATTTGAAAAAATTTCAGCGACTCTGCATAAAGCTGACCGCAGAGAATGACATTATCAATCCTTTATAGCAACGATCGAGCTGGTGTATCGGAACGTTCCTATTGTTACACGTTACACGCCTATGATTTGTAACCAGGGAATTCTTTAGCCGCGTTCCGAAACTAACGAACGCTTCGTTTCATTGTGCCGGAGCTCGTAAAATCGTCTTTCACGCCCAGTGTTTCAGCAGGCTAATGAACAATACTTGTATGGGAACCCCGTGAATTATTATCGCGGCTCGTTTCGTCCTATAATTTTATACGCACGCGTGTATGTGTGTATCGGTAGGTATATATGATATGTACTCGTGTTTGTACGTATAGATGGTCGTGTAACCGCGATCAAGACACGCCGGGTTCATTTTTCATGCGGAACAATGGGGATAGCAAAATAACCGGGAAATAGCACAGTCCCAACTATGCGCGGCAAATGGAAAAGAATGTGCCGTGTTTAGTCGAAATGCGAGCTGGATACTTGCGGCGCGAGGGTGTGAGGGGAAATTGAAAAAAAAACGTGGACGCGAGAAGTAATTCGAAGGAAGTGAACGCTGAGAAAAAGGCAACCCGGCATTCGTAGTTAGTATAAGTAAATTAGTAAGTAAGTAGATAAGGAAGTAAGTGCATAAGTGAGTAAATAAGTAAATAAGTAAGGAATTAAGTAATTAAGTAAATAAGTAAATAAGTAAGGAATTAAGTAATTAAATAAATTAGTAAGTAAGTATGTAAGCTAATAAATAAGTAAACATGTAAGTAATTAAGTAATTAAGTAAATTAGTAGGTAAGTAAATAAGTAAGTTATTAAGTAAGTTAGTAAGTAAGTAAATAAGTAAGTATTAAGTAAATTAGTAAGCAAGTAAATAAGTAAGCAATTGAGTAAATTAGTAAGTAAGTAAATAGGTAAGAAATTAAGTAATTAAATAAATCAGTAAGTAAGTAAGTAAGGAATTAAGTAAATTAGTAAGTAAGTAAATAAGGAATTAAGTAAATTAGTAAGTAAGTAAATAAGGAATTAAGTAAATTAGTAAGTAAGTAAATAAGGAATTAAGTAAATTAGTAAGTAAGTAAATAAGGAATTAAGTAAATTAGTAAGTAAGTAAATAAGGAATTAAGTAAATTAGTAAGTAAGTAAATAAGGAATTAAGTAAATTAGTAAGTAAGTAAATAAGGAATTAAGTAAATTAGTAAGTAAGTAAATAAGGAATTAAGTAAATTAGTAAGTAAGTAAATAAGGAATTAAGTAAATTAGTAAGTAAGTAAATAAGGAATTAAGTAAATTAGTAAGTAAGTAAATAAGGAATTAAGTAAATTAGTAAGTAAGTAAATAAGGAATTAAGTAAATTAGTAAGTAAGTAAATAAGGAATTAAGTAAATTAGTAAGTAAGTAAATAAGGAATTAAGTAAATTAGTAAGTAAGTAAATAAGGAATTAAGTAAATTAGTAAGTAAGTAAATAAGGAATTAAGTAAATTAGTAAGTAAGTAAATAAGGAATTAAGTAAATTAGTAAGTAAGTAAATAAGGAATTAAGTAAATTAGTAAGTAAGTAAATAAGGAATTAAGTAAATTAGTAAGTAAGTAAATAAGGAATTAAGTAAATTAGTAAGTAAGTAAATAAGGAATTAAGTAAATTAGTAAGTAAGTAAATAAGGAATTAAGTAAATTAGTAAGTAAGTAAATAAGGAATTAAGTAAATTAGTAAGTAAGTAAATAAGGAATTAAGTAAATTAGTAAGTAAGTAAATAAGGAATTAAGTAAATTAGTAAGTAAGTAAATAAGGAATTAAGTAAATTAGTAAGTAAGTAAATAAGGAATTAAGTAAATTAGTAAGTAAGTAAATAAGGAATTAAGTAAATTAGTAAGTAAGTAAATAAGGAATTAAGTAAATTAGTAAGTAAGTAAATAAGGAATTAAGTAAATTAGTAAGTAAGTAAATAAGGAATTAAGTAAATTAGTAAGTAAGTAAATAAGGAATTAAGTAAATTAGTAAGTAAGTAAATAAGGAATTAAGTAAATTAGTAAGTAAGTAAATAAGGAATTAAGTAAATTAGTAAGTAAGTAAATAAGGAATTAAGTAAATTAGTAAGTAAGTAAATAAGGAATTAAGTAAATTAGTAAGTAAGTAAATAAGGAATTAAGTAAATTAGTAAGTAAGTAAATAAGGAATTAAGTAAATTAGTAAGTAAGTAAATAAGGAATTAAGTAAATTAGTAAGTAAGTAAATAAGGAATTAAGTAAATTAGTAAGTAAGTAAATAAGGAATTAAGTAAATTAGTAAGTAAGTAAATAAGGAATTAAGTAAATTAGTAAGTAAGTAAATAAGGAATTAAGTAAATTAGTAAGTAAGTAAATAAGGAATTAAGTAAATTAGTAAGTAAGTAAATAAGGAATTAAGTAAATTAGTAAGTAAGTAAATAAGGAATTAAGTAAATTAGTAAGTAAGTAAATAAGGAATTAAGTAAATTAGTAAGTAAGTAAATAAGGAATTAAGTAAATTAGTAAGTAAGTAAATAAGGAATTAAGTAAATTAGTAAGTAAGTAAATAAGGAATTAAGTAAATTAGTAAGTAAGTAAATAAGGAATTAAGTAAATTAGTAAGTAAGTAAATAAGGAATTAAGTAAATTAGTAAGTAAGTAAATAAGGAATTAAGTAAATTAGTAAGTAAGTAAATAAGGAATTAAGTAAATTAGTAAGTAAGTAAATAAGGAATTAAGTAAATTAGTAAGTAAGTAAATAAGGAATTAAGTAAATTAGTAAGTAAACAAGTAAGTAAATAAGTAAGAAATTAAGTAAATTAGTAAGCAAGTAAGTAATTAAGTATCTGAATAAATTAGTAAGTATGTAAATAATTAAGTAATTAAGTAAATTAGTAAGTAAATAAATTAGTAAGTAAGTAAGTGAATGAGTAAGTGAATTAGTAAATAACTAAGTAAGTTTGTCAGGGAATCGCGTCACCGATTGGCTCCGAGAACTGCAAATTTTCGAACTACTCCGAGCTTTCGGAAGTTGAACTAACTTGACGAAGATTGTTTCGGATGTTTCTCTCGAACGCACCGCGAAAAATATGCAACTGTCTCGAACGCGGATCTTTGACAAAACAGGACAGTATAATCGATTTTGCTTCGGCTAATTTCGCTTCAAACTGCACACGTAACGAAATCCATCATATTTCGTTCGTATCTGTCCACTCTGTTCACTAATATTATAATTCATCTCACAATTTATTTAACGACTGGTTCTGGTCATACGTCGCACTGTTTCATACATTTTTCATCAGTTTCACGGTATCATCCCGCTCTCAATGGCAACCCATTTAAGCATCATGTGACTTTTTCCCTTTAGTAATTTTTAGCAATCCGCGACAGTTTCGCGTCGGTTAACGTTTCGTGGAAACAAATTTATTCAAAGTATTTTAAACTGCGCGAGGATTGATCAAAAATTTTACAAATATATTGGAATGTCAGAATGTCGCCGATCAAACAGCGATCAAAATTACGACATTGGACTCGCAATCGATTTAATTATTATATATTTAATTATTATATTTTATAACATAATGCTGCGAGAAGTAGTACATGACTTAGGGTAGCGTTGATTTAGGGTTGCGCGATGAACATCGGCGAATGATATTCTCAATTTAAAGGAATAGTTATCGTTGAAAACGTTATAGTGATCGTCGAAAACGATCTGGCTTCGATCTATCGATGATCTACGAAGAAAGGAATGATCGGGTACTCACATATGACGCTGAGATGAGCATTGGCACGGATCGGTTTGATGCGCAAATATGGTCCGACTTGGCACTGATATTCCCCATCGTCGGTCAGAGATGCGTTGGTGATCTTCAGGTTGTAGATCCCGTTTCGATCTCCTATCAATTCCAGCCTCGGGTGTCCGACGATTTCTCCACCTGAGAAAAAGCGGAAAGCGTCGATTAGAAAAACGCGTAGACATTGCGAAAACTGAAAATGATTAGACTGCGCTAATACATAACAATGAGTAAAAAATAATTAAAAATCGGGATATCTCGTAGCTGGCAGTGTGAATGGGTTAAATGATTTTGCTATTTCGCGTTTGATCTACCGATCGCGTTTCTGTCATGAACACAGTGTCAACGAATTATTCAGTGAAGCAAGAATTTATCCGAAACACATTTCTGCAATCCGTTCGAAAAGAAAAGCGCGTTATCCCTTTTTCGCGATTGTATAGCGCGCTTCAATTTTCGGATCAAAAAGATGCTTATGAGCTCGCAGATACGAGGAGAGCGGAAAATTAATAATAACGCCTTGATCCACTGAATATTTTCTGTCGCGTCGACACATTCGCGACCGTTCGTCGCGAAAATTTCTATTCACAAATTTCTATAATACGTTCATTCAGTTAAAATTGATACGTCCGTCCGTTGTGGAGCAGTTTCCCCGGATGCAAAGGGCCCCGGCAATAATCGTATCTCCTACCTTTCCACCGGAAAATATTTTTTCGCGATATTTTCCCCCGGGTGGATTTGCAAAGATAAATATTACGCGAGCAGCCTGAAATCTCAGCGTTCTTAAATTACGCATTTGTCCCATTATTTTTCTCGGGAGCACGGTCTTTTTATTTAACGAGGCACCGTGAAGAATCAAAGGTCCCGATCAATAAGAAAACGCCGGGGGAAGAACAATCGCGGGCCGGGATTCCGCTCTGTTCCTTTTACGGGCGGACATGAAAGTTGTTACATTTATAACGAGGAAAATTGAAAAAGGTTATTATTCCGGCTTAAACGCTTTTGTAGGGTTTCATATTAAAATTCCTGCGCCGCGTCGCGTCGCGTCGCGGCGCGTTCGTGTTCGTCCGCTAATTTTCGCTGAGAAATCGTCTCCAGTTTTTTCCGTCCATTGACGAGAAGACGAACGACAATCGATGAGGAAGCTTTCCACGTAAATAAAAACTCTCCAGGAAAATCACCGTTCCCGTCGGAGCTTTAAACCCGAAATAATTCATCTCGATTTCATTTCGCCGGAAGATTTAAAACGCTGCGGTCTTTCAAACAATTTCGCCGATTTATCTTCGCGAATTTATCATCATAAATTGATCTTCATTTTATCGTCGCGCTCTTGGGAGCCTCGTGCCAACTTAATTGCGAGCGAATTTCGCATCAATAATTAAGCCGAGAAACTCGCAAGAGATTTTATTGTTCTATTGTTTTATTTTTAGTGTCATTATACAGACTGTATAGATAGATCTAAATATAGAAATTAGATCTTAAATAGCAAATAACCGAGTATAACAACTTTCTAAATATTTTATTATTTTTTCGTTATATTTTTTTATGTTTAAATTCAGATGAAAGGGCGAACACGTGAACTGATCGAAATTTGTGAACTTCTTTGCGAACCGGTTCTAAATCAATCAAACCGTTCTAAATGAATCGCGCAAATGAAAAAAGAAAGCCCGGAACATTAATTTTGCTCGTCCATTTTAAAATCGCTGGTACCGATAAATTCATTTAATCGATCCAGCATAAAACCGAAGAAACGTAAAACTATCCAGACAAAATTGCTTTAGTTTGCATTCGATTCTGCTCTACATTTTTCCTTTCCATGGAAGAGCATTTTTATACCCTTCGATACAATCGGAACGCGAATTTATCTGTTTTAATCAGTTCGCAGTTATTGACGAAATATTTGAACGGAACGGCGACATTACGTTCGCGATCCGAACGAGCCGAGCGAGATATAATTCTACATTTTCTGCAAAACTGATCGCGGCGCGCACGCATATTTTTCGCGCAGTTTCAAAAGCGGCCGGGGCTTTTAAGGGATCTACTGCAACAGCCTCCGCGGGACATTATGATTTTTCGATACGGAGGATGTAAATGCTCGCGATAAAAGGTTCCGGCCCGGTGGAAAAAAAGAGGAAGAGGAATCGTAAACGCGTGTATTAAGGCCGTGCCGTAACTCAAAGACAGACGGTAAACTAAACGAACGCGGGCTCCATAAAGGGCCGTGGATACAGGTTCGCGGCGATGTACATAGACCGGCACGCGATATACCACTTGCTTTTTGATAAAACCGGCGGTGCATGCAGTATCGATAGGGCCGGTCGTTTCACGGCTGACGGTACCCAGTGTCAACCTTGGCCTTTGCTAAAAATCCACCCTGCCGCGGCAAACATTTGCTAATCGAGCCGTTAATGAGCCGTGACGTGACTTCATCAACCGGCAAATCCACCCGGATATCGCAGCCGGTTAACATCGGAAACGCAACAGCTGCGTTATTCTATTTATCGAGCAACTTTATCGATTCTTCGGTCAACAACAATGACCCGGAATAACGTCCTTCGTGAACTGCCGATCTAGCCGATTGCGAATCCACGCGGAATTTGTTAGATTAAGGAACGATTGTTCGGCTGCCGTTTGCTCGAAACGAATTTCGAGATTTTCTGATTGAATACGACAAGAAAAGTTTGTGTTTCTTATAACTTCAGATTTTCTTTCTTATGAATTAATTATCAAATTGGATTTCTTATAAAGCAATTATCAAATTATGTTTATGATGAATCAATTATCAAATTATATTTCTTGTAAATTAATAATCAAATTATATTTCTTATAAATTAATTATCAAAGTTATGTTTCTTATAAATCAATTATTAAATTATGTTTATGATGAATTAATTATCGAACTATGTTTCTTATAAATCAATTATCAAATTAGGTTTCTTATAAATTAATGATCAAGTTATGTTTCATATAAATCAATTATCAAATTATGTTTTCTATAAATCAATCATCAAAATCTGTTTCTTATAAATTAATTATCAAATTATATTTCTTATAAATCAACGATCAAATTATGTTTCTTATAAATCAATTATTAGAACATGTTTCTCATAAATTATCAAATTAAGTTTCTTATCGCGTTTATTATTGCAGGAACAGAATTTCGAACGTTTTGCAGTGATCTTTCGGAAAAAAGAGACTAAATAATATAATAATAATGGACTAAACTAAGTTATTTAATATTTTTCATTTTCAGAGTGTTCACTGATTCGTGCTTCGATACCTTTCGCAGTCATGAACACTGGAATGCGATCTCCAACACAAAAGTTTGTCAAAGGCGATACGATCCATTTTGCGGATTTTATGCGATTCTACGCAAATCTGAATACCTCAAAGGTGACATGGATTTTATGGAATTACGGGGAAAGCAAATGGATCAAACGTTAAAGCAGATTTCGCGGAATCGTGATGTGGCTGAATAAGTCAATTGAAACACACAGATTTTATGCAATTCTGCTAAAGGAGAATGAATCGAATGTGAAACAGATTTCAAGCAATTGTCGCGGAAAAGAACGATACGACTGTAAATCAGACTTTATGCAATTACGACAGAATCCGAACGAATAATCGAGCGTAGAACAGATTTTATGAAATTATGACAAAACTGAATGAATCGTGCGTGTAACACGATTGTTTTTATGCAATTACGACAAACCTGAATGGATCTATTGTGAAACAGATTTTATGAAATTATGACAAAACTGAATTGAAATCCACCGTAGAACGGATTTTATGAAATCACGAGAAAACCGAATGAATCGAGCGTGTAACAGATTTTACGCAATTGTGAGAGAAATGAATAGATCGAACATCGGTAAAAAAGAACATTGGAAAACACGGACGTGTTTAAAAATCCTGTCGCATTACTTTCAACACACCGAAATCGTAACGAATGTTCGCGCGGCTCCTGTACCTTTCTAATTAAACGTTCTAATTAATATCGCAAAAAAATCTGCGGGTTCACGGTTCGGGTGCTCGCGTCCGCGTGCGCGTCGTTTTCGTTCTATTTCCGAAACGATGTCACCCGATCTCTCGAGGCCTTGATTTTAGTGTTTCTAATTACACGGAGGCCGGCGCGTCGTCCGAAAATTTGGGTTACGCGAAAAGTGCGCTCGGCTAATAAAGGTTTCGATAGCCGAGGCTCTAATTATCCTTCTTTTGTGCGACTGTCAGCCCCTATGAGATTGCCAGGCGCCACCGAATGCGAATCAACCACGGCGGATCTGAAAACTGTGACACTGACGAGGGTTGTAGCTTTTGTGGATCGCGGTCGCTTTTGTTGAAAAATGATGATACGTCGGCACACCGACGTTACCGGCGAAAGAGATTACACCGTTTCGCCGCGGCGGAGAAAAAAGACGCCGAAGAAGGAGACGAAGGAAGAGACGAGGAGAAGAAAATGATCGGGCCCGAAGAGAAAGCGGGACGGTTCTTCCAGCCCCGCTCGCAGCCGCTTCATTTATATCGCGGCCACTAATGGCTCCTCTTTGAAGCGCGGGGCGAACCGAACTTATTAAACGAAGTTTCGAAGAATCTGTAATAAGAGCCGCGAGAGTCCGGTCGAGGTATTCTTCGCGTTGGGTCCCGTTGCATCTGCATTCGCTTCTACTTCGCGGTCTCTTCGCGGCGAACTTGATAATTACTTGTGATCTATGCTAAATTTATACGGGCTGTTTTGAACTTCGCCCGGCGAAACGACGCCAAATTGTTCGACACAAATGACCCGGCGTTCAGCTAACGCGATGTATTACACGCCAGACCACTCGGCTGCTTAATTAGGCTTCCCTTGATCGAGCGACGGTGTTTGTCTTTGCGCAACATAATTCACTAATTGCAACACACCGGGGACAAGTAAGAATTACAGTGTTCCCTTAACCCGTTGCGCCGCGATTTCTTTTCACTGCTCCGTTAATTAACGCCTTCCTCCGCCTTTTAATTTCCACGATGGAACGAGACGATTTTTATTTATTCCGTCTTCGTTTATTCTTCGACTTTGGCTACCGAGGAGTTATTGTTACGGTCATTGTTACAGCGCAAGGGGTTAATAATTTTGGCTCGCAACTATCTCAGACTTTAATCTTCCTGCCTTTCCGAATTTGATGTGTTCATTTTTATTAGAAACGCGCGAAATTCGCGGTTCAATTATAAACTTCGAATAATTTAATTTAATTTACAGATTCAAAGGCGGAAGGTTTTTAAAACAATTGCAATCAGGAGTCAAATGGAACATTTCTTATTATTCTAAATATATTCTTTCCACGTGAACGAGATGAAAGCGTCGCGAACACATTGTCAGAATTAATGATTTAATTTTGAATTTAATTATTAATTTTAATTTTAATTTTCCGAGAATCGAATCGAAAATTTTCCGAAAATGATTTTCTCAGATTAAGTTGAACTCCAGGTAACAATGAGTGCTTAGCGTCGAGTGGGAATAAATCGTGCGAAATCAGGTGTACTCACTTTGCTGTATGACGTAAGCGAAGCCATCTTTGACCCATTGTACAATGCCGAATCTGTTCTCGACCTCGCAAGGTATCGTTACCTCTCCACCTTCGAGGACCGAACTGTTCCGCGGTCTGACTCTGAAGAACTGGCTCCCTTCACCTGCAACACAATTACAAATAGATTAGCAACAATGAGCAATCTCGTGCAATTACGAACCCGGCCGTGATCCGTTCGCAATTAAGACAGCAGTATTCTCCCGGCAAGGAAGAATCCTGAAGAAATCCTGGCCTTGTTGCAAGAAATAAAAATTAATGTGTAGCAAACAGGTCGGCGTGATTATAATTTTAGAGTTAATTAATTAGCCAGGGCGCGGTTACGTTTATTACTTGGCGCGGTCAAATGCAAAACGGTAAAGACATTTAAAAAATGTTTAAAAACCGTTACAATCAACTCAACAAAATAATTTCAAAAAAGGACAGATTCGTCTCCGCAGCTTCTGCATCTTCTAAACAATGTCTACCATTTTTATTTTGCATAAAAATCATCACGATCACGTATCACCCAAATACACTCGCGAGCAAAATTAAGGGATGAAGAAATTTTCATCGAGAAATTACCGATGTCCGAACTGCTGTAACATCGTAAAAAAAATCGTACCGAGATGAGTCTTCGCTCGTTTTAAAAGGCAAAGTTTCTGCTTTCTGATCATTGTTTCAATTTTATTTCCAGATGCTTTTTTACTCGAATGCGAGACGGAAATGCGAAGGTACTTTCATTTCACAAAAATTCACAGAATCAATAAAAATTCCAAAAGATTATTTCACAAAACGTTTGCGCGAGGCTTAATCTATTTCTTCTGGTTTTCTCCCTATAATGAGATTAAAGAAAGCGGGTCACCCCTTTACGACTTTGAAGTTCGCGTTTTGAAATCCGCATTTTGCAGTACGCATTCATGAATTCGCATTCATCTCTGTATAATGTTCTTTAACGAAGCCAAAGCAGTTCAAACATCGGAAATTTCTCGATGAAAATTTGTTCCACCCTTAACACATTCACGATCGCGCTAGAAACCTAAAAAATTTCATAAAATCATAGTCTTCCGTTCGATTAAATTAAAATTGCAGAGCAAACTTACATGGCTTCTTCAACGTTCAAGCAAATCTTAATTAAACTAAGAAATTACAATGTTGATGTGCGTAAAAATTAATTTTTAGAAATTAAATTTTAAACGATGCTGTCACCCACACATATGCCTGTGACGCGGCAGTCAAAGTGTTCACAGAGTTTAATTAAAACCGTGTTTTATAAAGGAAATGAAAATATTCGATGAGTTGCAAAAAACTATGTGTCAAGACTGATCGATGACAACAACAATAACAACAAAAAATAATCAGAACGAAGGCCACGAGATTTTCTCATTCGGTCATAGAGCTACTTAATTTAAAACGGGAAGATCTCCTCATTCGGCTGGCTAAATGTTGACACTATTTTAGTATTAATAATTTTGATCATTTCAATCGAATCAATTAGACTGTAAATAAAATATGATTATGACTAAATATATATATATATATATATATATTTTATATCATTATATATTTTATATCATTATATATATTTTATATATTATATATAATATATAAAACTGTAATATATAAAAATATAATATATAAATTATACAATATCGATTCTTCCTAATCGACGCTCGGATTGTACACAAAAATGGACAATTTGCGAAGCGGAGCTACGATTATTCGCGTCTCGCGGCTCGTTTTCCTAATTACCGATTGCCAACAACCATAAAAACTCGCCGCAAGGCTCGAATAATCGCATCTCCTCTTCCCAAATTAATCGTCCATTTTTGTGCACAATCTGACTGTCAATTAGGGAGAATTTACTGTACAGAGCGCACGTATTTCGCAAAGCTGCGCCAGGCACGATAGCGTTCGCATACCGCCGGCATTCTAACGTTACACCGAAATCAATTCTTCTCGGTTTGGTCCCGGCCTGGCCACGCCTTCGCGTTCACGGACGCGTTAAATTTATCTGGCTGGAGGTCCGTGGCGTATCCGAATGCAAGGGCAGAGCCGCGCGGTACGCCGCGCCGGTTGTTTGCCGGCTGGCATGAAACGCTCGGCCTGTATATTTCATCGATGCCGTATTTAGGCTGGATTGTGCAAATTCGTGGGGCAAGTGGCCACGAAACGCACAGGCGGTCTGCACAAAGGCAAACGTGTAACCCGGCCGCAGGTACACAGACGACGGCGAGGATCGGCGACGGCCGTCAACGACGACGCCGGGGCCTCCACTCTCTCCTCTCTCTCTCTCTCTCTCTCTCTCTCTCTCTCTCTCTCTCTCTCTCTCTCTCTGTGGAAGCTAACCAAGCAGCACCGAGCATCGGTTCTATCGGCGGCGAACAAGCAGATTACGCTGATCTTCCATCAAGATTTTGNGCACGATAGCGTTCGCATACCGCCGGCATTCTAACGTTACACCGAAATCAATTCTTCTCGGTTTGGTCCCGGCCTGGCCACGCCTTCGCGTTCACGGACGCGTTAAATTTATCTGGCTGGAGGTCCGTGGCGTATCCGAATGCAAGGGCAGAGCCGCGCGGTACGCCGCGCCGGTTGTTTGCCGGCTGGCATGAAACGCTCGGCCTGTATATTTCATCGATGCCGTATTTAGGCTGGATTGTGCAAATTCGTGGGGCAAGTGGCCACGAAACGCACAGGCGGTCTGCACAAAGGCAAACGTGTAACCCGGCCGCAGGTACACAGACGACGGCGAGGATCGGCGACGGCCGTCAACGACGACGCCGGGGCCTCCACTCTCTCCTCTCTCTCTCTCTCTCTCTCTCTCTCTCTCTCTCTCTCTGTGGAAGCTAACCAAGCAGCACCGAGCATCGGTTCTATCGGCGGCGAACAAGCAGATTACGCTGATCTTCCATCAAGATTTTGTCTTTCATCTTGTCGCCGTTGTGCCCGTCATCTCGAGCGAACTCGGGGGGAAGCGATTCGGAGCGTTGCGCTGCGAGGGAGGGTCGCGCTGCACGCCAAGGGATGAAGATGCCAGGCACTGGCGTGTCCCGCGCCGTCAACTGCCTGTGAAAACCGAGACTGAATCGTTCAACCGTCTTCTCTTTTTTTTATGCAAATGACGATCGGTAACCTGATAACACAGTTCTCCTTTTTTTTTTTAGGAGGATTCTGTCTTTGGCAATTCGACGCTGAAACATTGCGTCGCGTTACTGCTATTGCTTCTGCCCCGACGTTGAGATTTGTTCGAGGATACTTTGTGAAATCCGAGCTTCGTTCGCGCGAATCGAACGTTTAGAGCGAAAGAGAGATTATGCGTGCTGGGTCAGCCTTCAATTGAATGCAGTATTGGTAATATATTATTTGAAATTGATAAGAGGGTAGGTCGCTGTGAAAATTCGTTGCTCGGTTTAGTTAAGGTAATTGGTATTGATTGTGATTGTTCTGGGAGCTTTCTGCATCGCTCTTGTAAATCTGAGTGATATTTTTAAGGTAGAAAATATTCTTCTCTTGTAGATAAATCGTACATCGTAAAATCGCAATTCGTAAAATCGTAAATCGTAAATTGAAAATTGTGCATTGCAAAATCGTATATTGTAAGCTGTGAAATTGTGAAATTATAAAGTTGTGAAATTGTAAAATTGTGGAATTGTAAAGTTGTGAAATTGCGAAGTTGCGAAATTGTGGAATTGTGAAATTGTGAAATTGCGAAGTTGCGAAATTGTGGAGTTGTGAAACTGTGAAGTTGCGAAATTGTGGAATTGTGAAATTGCGAAACTGTGAAATTTATGGAATTGAGAAATTGTGAAACTGTGAAATTGTGAAGTTGCAAAATTGTGGAATTGTAGAATTGTGAAATTGTGGAATTATGGAATTGTGAAATTGTGAAGTTATGAAGTTATGAAGTTGTAAAATTCTGAAACTGTGAAATTGTGGAATTGTAAAGTTGTAAAATTGTGAAACTGTGAAATTGTGGAATTGTAAAGTTGTAAAATTGTGAAACTGTGAAATTGTGGAATTATGAAATTGTGAAGTTGTGAAATTGTGAAATTATGAAGTTGTGAAGTTGTGAAGTTGTGAAATTGTGAAGTTGTAAAATTCTGAAACTGTGAAATTGTGAAGTTGTGAAATTGTGGAATTATAAAATTGTGGAATTGTGAAGTTGTGAAACCGTGAAACTGTAATATCGTAAAACTGTACAACATCTTGACAGTCAAGAAAAAGAATCTAAAAGTCACATTAATCATTTGAATACGTTCTTCCCATTAGCACAGAGCTCCATTCTGCGTTCGCAGGTGAAACAATTACAGCAAAACTACCCGCATAAACGGCATCCATGTATCCAAAATTACCCCGAACAAGAATCGTAATTTCAAAGTGTTGCTATTTAATTACCGAAACAGTTTTCGAGAAGAGTGGCGGAAAATCCGGTGGAATAATGATTAGAGAGCGTTTCTTTCGGTGTTCCACGCGCAACAGTTTAAAAAGCCGTTTCTCCCACGCCGGGGCAAACACTTTCGAAAACCGTATTTTGTGCGTTTGAAGCGTACGCCGAAGTGGTAGCTTTAAAACGCTCTAAGGACTTCAAAACAGAAATTCCCTGCGTATGTTAAAAACTCGCCGACGACTACTCCGCGACCATTCAGAAGCTTTTAGCGTGGTCTATGTATATTGAGATTATTTCAAAGGGATAACTTTAAAGTTGAAGGGTGCGGAAAAAACGCAGTACACATTTATAATTCCATAGACGTTCTGCTATCAATCTGGCGTGTTTACGCGAATTTCTCCTGCGAATGAAGGCTGATTTTGTTCGTATCGTCGGTCGATAAAATTTACAGCAACGTGCCATCTTGTGAATATCGTTAATCAATAAAATTCAATTCCATGGATCGGTAAAATGGCGGACAAATAAGACGATGCGAAATCGAGGAAATAAATCTTGATAATTTTGATTTGAAAAGCAGTGATTTTTTGTAAGCTAAGAATTTATTGCAAGGTACGGTGTTTTATAACTAGACCGCGGGCTTTATGCGTTTGTAACAAAAATGAACGGACGAAATAGAAAACTGTGGAGTCGATAAACGAATTTAAGAACAGTGTCACGCTATTTTCGAGTTACTCAAGTTGG